TATTGCAGTTCCAGGTACTGTGGAAGCGAGAAGCGCTCAAGACAAGGCTGCTCAATCTGGTAACCTGAAAGGAATCGAGTGAGCTTCGATCAACACATCTAAAGACCATCAGATAATGTCTTCTGTTTGCTCCATGCGTGATCTTCTAGCAATTCTAGAAGGCATGTGTGTGAGTTTAATTATCCAAGCAATACACGAGGCCAAAGAGATGAGTATGTGCAGACAGGACAATAGTCTTTGTGGGCATAGTGTTTTCTGAGCTTCATGGTTCTTTATAAACCTTTGCTAGAGAAGTTTTTCCAATCGGGATTTTGTTCAGCTTGATCTCTTCTTTCTCCGAATCGTCCCACAGTTAATTCTACCTATTCAGCAACTTAAACTCTGCTTTTCAGTGCTGGTGCAGGGACCAGGTCTGGGAAGCCATGATTCCCTCAGAATGGTCAAAACAATGTAGCAATAAGGGCATTAGAGTGTGTCTGATTAGATTTATTAGCTTACTTTACCAGACAGGCGTCCTCAAACTATGGCCCACGGGCCCCATGCAGCCTGCCTAGGACATTCATCCGGCCCTCCAGGTGTTTTTGCCGCCGCTGTCTGTCCTTAGCAGCCGACTTGTCCCGTCCCGCAGTCTGGCCCTCCAACAGTCTGAGGGACAGTGAACTGGCCCCCTATTTAAAAAGTTTGAGGACCCCTGATTCAGTACAAACAGGAACTCTTTCATTACCCATCTCAGACTTTTCAACATCTTGGAACAATCCTAACTTTCATACATCACAGCTGACCCACCTTTGCCTAGGCCCTATACCTTCCCAAGTGCAACCCTATAACCCTGACGCAAATCCCATTCTTGATGCTAAGTGTGTGGTGAGGGAGGCAGTGGCTGTTTGGAAAAGTGGCCACAGCCCCACTCCCTGAGGGGTCACCCCTCCACATCCCTGTGGATGGTGGGAAGTTCTTTTCAGCATTTTCTTTCATTTCGGTGTCAGCCTCTCAATAACCCCTCATCCTTTCCCTCTGGACAGTTTCCCCAGCACACATCCTCTCCTTCTTCACAGGACAACTCCTTGAATCCTCCATACCGACTGAAGGAGAAACAGTGAATTTTGTTTGCATTTTACTCAAAGGAAAATGCCTTTAGTTTCTTGCAGCAACACATTGAATCCCCGTCACAGCAAAAGTACTTAACAGAAGAAAAGTAAGGGGAGGCCGGGCACGGTGGCTCACGCCTATAATCCCAGCACCCTTGGAGGCCAAGACAGGTGGATTGACTGAGCTCACAGGTTCAAGATCAGCCTGAGCCAGAGCAAGACCTCATCTTGTCTCTAAACATAGCCAGGCGTTGTGTTAGGCCCCTGTGGTCCCAGCTACTTGGGAGGCTGAGACAAGAGAATCACTTAAACCCAACAGTTTGAGGTTGCTGTGAACTATGATGCCATTACACTCTACAGAGGGTGACAAATGAGACTCTGTCTCAAAAAAAAAAAAAAAAAGAAAGAAAAGAAAAGAAAGGGGAATTTGGGGAATTTGGTCATGTACAATAGTTTTCTAGATTATGGAGAACTCTGGTGGCAGGAGGGATGGGGGAAGAATCTTAAAATGAGAGCTCCCAGTGGACAGTCATTCACTGGGGTTTTATTTGTAATAACCATCACCTTATCATTTCAACTTTCCCCGAGGCCTTGTTGAATACAAGAGAAAACAGAAACTTAGAGAGGAAAATACCATTTCTTCTTAAGAATCACATATCTTTAAACTATGAATGCCATAAGAATCACTTTTTCGAATTCAACTGCTCATTCTGTATGCAAATAATTCCACTAAAATTTTGATTTCATAGGGAAGAACAGGAGAGGTGAAGTGATAATATTTGGGGATAGACTTGAGACTATATTATATAGGCTTTCTGATGTACAGTTGGCAGGCCTCAGTTTAAGGAGTAAATGAGTAGCCAGTATACACTTGACAGTAATTTTTTTTTTCTCAATGTTGAACACATTAACTTTTATCAGCAATTGCAAGGGTGGAAAACATGTAAGTTGGGAAATAAAATTAAGAGGGTCTGAGGCCCGGCTCTACTTAATATAAATCTCACATTCTAAATCCTCAATTTCATGTATAAATGGAAATAGCATCTACTTACAAACATTCGGGGAATAAGTCACACATGTGCCAGCGTTTTGTACAGAGTTCCAGCCACTGTTAGACACTATCACCCCAAAAAGATAATTATCAAAGGTATGACTATGCTGTTTTTATTAATACAGTACAGCTGGGAACCACATTTTTAAATTTTATAGTCTGGATTTCAGTAACACAGTGTTAGAAACCTCTGCTTTCCTCTTATGACATTCTTCTTGAATGTCTGCGTGTATTACTATGTTCGATTCATAGTGCGAAATAAGTATCTCGAAATACTTGTTGTTTTAGTCATTGTACTTGTTGAAATGTAATAGCAAATAATTTCTTGCAGAGGCAATCAGTACAGTGTTTGTAACTTTTGTATTTTCCTTCTTAATACATAACAGATGTGGGAGAGACGGGATTCGTCCCACCCCCACCCCCAGTGCTCAGCGCAGCACATGGCACCGAGTCAGATTACACTGCATGTGACAGTCAAACCCTCCTGTATTTGTGAAAGCAGGATGCAAGCAGGCTATTATTTGAGTATCTGCTGCTTTATCCAGCATGCATCTGACTTTTTGACTAAGAAAATCAACACCTCAGAGGTGAACTAAATTTTGTAAAGAAATTTTAAATTTTGTAGATCCCAAGTTTACGGACAGGGATACACATACATTAAATTCTTAGTCGCTTTAAATTAGTACCTGCAAGAAAAGCCCACAGAGAGCCTTAACGAGTCATCTTTGGACTGTGGCAACTATAGAGAAGAAATAGTTTTGCAGTCTGATTAGAAATATGGCCATCGTGATAAAATCGTGCCACCCCCCCCCCCAGGAGGTCTGTACACAATATCAGTGAAGATACTGCAGCTATCGAACTGAAAAACCACAGGTATTTTACTCACAGACTTTATGCCATTAAAAATTAAAAGCCTCCTATAAATGATCAAACGTTGCGATTATGGATCATTAAAAAGCGAGGTGGTAAAAACACTGTTGGATCTAAGAGTCTGGCCCTCTTGTTCATAAATATCATAATTGTATATCTATTGAGGATAAAGTGTACCAAATTCCTACACAGCAACTAATTATATTCCCTCCCCACCCTTCAAAAACAGTGGGGGCTAGAAACGTCTGTGGCCTCTAAAATATTTTATCATTTAAAATTGCTTACTGCGCTTTGGGAGAGTGGATGACATTGTGCGGATCTGAGATGACAGTTCCTTTAAATTTCCCCTGCAATCGGTTCTTGCCCTTCTTCCCAGAGTGAACATGTAAAGGCTGGGGAACAGCAAGCCAGAGCAAAAGGATTGATTGCTTCCGACTTCTTGGTCCCTGATGCCCCAGTGCACGCTTACATGCCAGGAAGAGATAAGAGATAGTCTGAGGTCAGACCTCCAGGGTGGCATCTCATTACTACCCTGTAACATCCAAACTCGCCTTTTTAAAGCACCTAGAGAGAGATACCCCTCTCCAATCATCTGAGAATATATCCCAAAGGACCAATGGTAAAATTATCTGAAACGGACCATATGGTAGCTCAAAAGACTATGAAGCCCTCCCACTGGCAAAGGTGAAAACTTTCTTCTGGGACTGGGGAAATTGCTGCTTCAATCAGGAGGTGGAAATATTCTCATATGTCTGCTAATCTAAAATAAAAATACATAGAAATAAATCTCCAAGTGTTTATTTGGAAATAACATCAAGAATTAGATTTGCAACCCTGGCATGCAAACCAGGTGTGTCGGAAGAACAAAGAGTCTGGGGTTTTACCGGGGGGGGAAAAGAGGAAGTTTACCTAAGCTGTAAGTTCATTGGAGCTGCTAGTGTCTTGCAAGAGCTGGTGAGTTCTCATTGGTGAGTGGTGGCAGCTATTAGGCAAAACATGGTCTTAAAGTTGGTTAGGTTTTTGTGGATTTTTTGTTGAATTGCAAGAACAGTTCCTGGAATAAGGACTTGGGTGCCCTTTCCAGAGCCTCCTGACTCCATTTTAATTGACTATTTCATAAATGACTATATTCTGTATGATCTATTTTCACACTTCTAACAGAGAGAATTTAGATGTGTTATTATTTACCATATCAGGAAACTGTTGTTCAGGAACAAATTTCATCCTTGCATAATTATCCTTGTAGAAAGAAATACAGCCCCATTTTGCTTCGTACGTTTTCATTTTTAGCACACTATAGCTTAGAAATTTGGCTTTACTACAAACACACGTGTAAAGTTCAGGGTATTGAGACTCTCAAGTGATTGGCACAGGCTCTAAGGAACCCTGAGGAAGGAAGGAAAGTACAGAGACTCTCAACCTCTCGTGGGGTTATATCCAGATGAATTCATCATACCTTGAAAATATCCTAAGTCAAAATGCACCAGGTTAGGTCCTGATAACCATCATGAAGTCAAACAAATCATTAAGTCAAGTATTGTAAGTTGAACCATGATAAGCTGGGGACCGTCTGTAAAAGCATCCTTTGTTCATCATGTCTCCCGGGGATCTCATTGCAGCTTGGGTAATGAGAAATGTGCATTTGGTTCAAGAGTCAAAATAACCTCTCTCCTGATAACCATAATTCCTCCCATTAAACACTTTTTACTGAGCATTAAATAGCATAAATGCAAAGATAAAGGTCAGGCCAATAGCAGGCACTTTGAGTCCAGCTTGGCTGTGAGTGCACGTGTGTGTGCACACAAATATGCAAACACAGACACACACACCAAAGAAAAAGACTTGCACATTTCATCATCCTGTAATCCACAGCATTTTCTAGAGCTATGTACTTTTTAAAAATAACACCCAGGTGCACATGCATACATAATTTTCTTTTCCTGGTCACTGCAGCAAGGCTGATTTTTTTAAAAAGAAGAGAGAGGAAGAAAGACTTCCACCAATGAGTTTATTTTAAAGGAAGCAAAATTAAAGAGAACTATGATGATAACAGCAGATGTCTACTTATCATTCACTTCCTAAATGTGGATTAATATATTCAGGAACAAATCAAGTATATTGCCAAAAGAAGAATGCTCCTGTTATCACCCCAATGGCTACCGGTTTCGATTATGCTTCTCCATCAGGCAAAACGTTCTCTCCCCAGCTTCTACCACTATTTATTTTGCTTCCTGCCAATCTTGAAAATAATTCATCTTGTGTGTCGTTTCCTGATAAATGCTTCCTGGTGCTTGATTGCTCCGCTGCATGGCATTTGATTTCAAACTGCCATTTTAGCTTTATAAACATTTAGAACCTTCTATGCCCGAGGAGAAACCCAAAAGGCACGCAACAATGGGGCTGTAATTAGACAGCAGAGTATATTTCACAGCACAGCTACCTTGTCCCTGTAGACCAGAAATCTCTCTGTGCACCCAATGCCGTATTCCCTATCTGGGCACAAAATAGTAAATTAACATCTGGGGGACTCCAAGAGACCTTAGTATCAACATGTTTAATTTATTATTAATGCAAAAGAACAGGTTCCTATGATTAGTGAAATAGAAAACATATATTGAAGGATCTGCCCCCACACCATTAAAAGGGGGTGGGGGAAGGAGAGAAAAGCAGAAAACATGAGAGAAAATAGAAGTAGTATCAGTGACCACATGATTTTTGTAGTAAACAATAGAATATGATGTGCAATAGTGCAATTTTCCTTTGCTGGTCCAGCAATGCCAAGTCTTCATAGGAAGTTCACTGATGTTATTTTTTGCCTTTCAGGATTTAGTTGCGTGCTTGTCGGGGGTTAGAGTTCCTGCCAGACTTCTGACTCTGAGTGGAATCACTGATGCTAGAATCGCTTTTACTCAGTCCAAGATGACGGAGCTTCATATCCCAGCGCTGTAAAATGTAAAACAGAAAATAGTCACAAGCACATTGTCACCAGGGTCATTATTTCTGTGATCCTAACAGCTGGGTCAAAACGGCAGTTAGATCACAAAAGCATTTTACTACTTTTCCAAATGTATAAAATCCAGATCCTATGGGGCAACTATAAAACTGATGCTATAAGAGCATCTATAATATATTCAGTAACGGTTTCATTATTCTTATTACACTTAAGAGTTCCATGTCTGTAAGTGATGACACAAGTCTCTAACTACATCTGTATTTCCTGGGGTAACTTGCACATCTGTAGTGCTTCACAGGGGCTCAACAAATGGAGGATGTACTTGGAGAATTTGAAGCAAAGGCTATTTTTCATCTTCCTCTCTTAAGACACATAAGAACAAAGCCTTTTAAAATCTGAGTGATTTTCACAGGAAAAAAATGGAAATTTTCTAGGGAATGAGGTCTTTCAAAAATATTTTTCTGAGTAATGTCTACCAAGTGCAACAAACCAAACAGACAAGGTCCTGCCCTCAATGCTAAGTCTCACAAAGCAAGCATAGCCAATGTTTTTAATAACCACAATCAAGTTTACTAATATTTTGTATTAACAAGGTCAATAATGTTTACATGTGATATGATAAATGGAAGTTATGTTATTGGACTGTATGGAAAGAGTGAAGACCACAGTGTACTTCTCAAACTTCAATGACCATGGAAATCACTTTAGGAACTTGATAAAATTGTAGATTCTCATTCAGTAGGTCTGAGATGGGGCCCAATATTTTCATAACAAGCTTCCAAATGATGCTGGTCTAGGGACCACACTTTAAGTAGCAAGGGGCTAATGTCAGGCGGCTGAAGTCCAAATTCCAACTCTACCACTTACTATGTGAGGGTTCCTAAACTTACTAGACCTCATCTGCATCATTTGTACGTTGGAATTAATAATAGAATTGATTTATAAGACTTTTCTAAAGATTGCCTTAACATATAAAGTGCTTAGCACATAGAAAATCAGTTATTACTTTTCTATTACTGAAAGTAACTTTTCATATTAATACACTTTACTCCACAATCTTGTTTTGCTATTTTAAAAACAGTCTGATTCTCAACTCCTCAAAGCAGTCCAAATATCTTGATTTAAACAATCTGTTGTAGCAGATACTTAGGTAAACAATCATTGACTCAGAAAAAACCATCCACATAAGGTCTTTTTAAAATTCTTGACCTATCCACTGAGAGTAAAAAATCAACTAAAGGAAACTCTGATAAAAAATAAAAAAAAAACCCTCATAAAACTCTCTTTTTTACCTTCTCAACTTGATTAGGAAACTAAAATAAGGATTTCAAGAATTCAGGCCAACAGGGATTTCCACCCAAACCCTTTAGCCCTGAGTATCTGTATATGAATTAAAAATGGTTGAAGTTACTGGTTTACTTCTTCCTTTTAGCAGGTTTAAATCCAGACGAAGAATATAAATGATGTCATAATAATAACTCTGAGTCCCCTGTAGAAAACAATAGGAAATATGTTTGCCTTATAAGAAACAGGACAAACAAGCCATGTGTCCTGTCAACACCATGATGACATTGTTTTGGTACCAAATGACGAGCAGTAAGGCTTGTTACGTGCATTGGAGCAGAGATGTTGAAAGCTCTTCCAACTGGTAAGGAATTTAGGACAAATTCCTGTTCTGCATTAGCAAGCAGAAAACCAAATTAGAAAGACAGTAAGAGATTCCAACATACTGAACAAGAGCCATTTTTTTTCTCTAATAAACATCAAACTAACGGAAGAGATGCAAATAGAGAATGCCCGTGAGTCTGAACTTGAAATGCATCTCAAGTTCGACAAATATACTAAAGGGAGAAAAAGAACTGACTAAAAGGTAGTTTCTCCCTACAAAATAATGCCCTCTACATTTCTGTAGGTCACTTAAACCCAAACGTGCCTGCTGTGTCAAGTGCCAGATGTATAAGATAAACGGCCCGGGGGTGTTTAACTTACCCTGTAAATGTTTCCCAAGCCTTCAAACTCGCAGAAGGAAGAGGATGTATTATGTTTGGTACGGTTCCCACTCCCCCACCCCCTACACACATCCTTTTAGATTCTTTGTCCCCCTACGCGTCCCCCCACCACATTCTTTTCTTTGAAACAGATTGCTTAGTGCAGCAAGAAGAAATGAAACCCTCTATAATAAAGTAATTTACTGTGTGATTCTTTTTTAAATGTGTCAGTTTGAGAATATAAGAGTCATTGGCTTAAAAATAAAGTAACATTACTGCTTTAAGGCCTTAATTTGGTTAGATCTCTAATACACACACAGATGAATCCACCGCACTCTATGCAAAGGAGCTGGTGTCTCTACTTTGGATACCATTGGTATTTTCCTGCCTATCCTTTATTCTCTCCTTACCACAAACTGTAATTTGTTCAAAGAAGCCATATGTCCAGTTAAAAATTTACATTTCCTAGCCTAGCCGCTAGTGCAGCTAGGCATGGACATGACCTCCCATATTGACCAGATATCCTAAGTAAAAGTTGCTGGATGAGGCCCTTAGAAATCCCTTTTAACCTCCTTTTTTTCTGCCCCAAATGTAGATGTGCTGCTTGCTCAGTCATCTTGTGACCACCAGGTGAACAGGAATAAATGGAAGCAATACCCTTAAAAAAATAAACAGAGCAATAAGCTCAAAGGAGCCTAGAGCCCTAATGATAAAGCGGAGCTGCCTTCCAGGTCTGGACTGACTACAGCTAGACTCCTTGTTATGAGAAGTTAGGGAACTAGTTAGGGCTCTGACACACATTCAGGGAACCCATTCCTTAAATTGAAATAGACATTAAAGACAAATTCAGTCCTGTGAGTTTTATGTATGTATTATAAATATATAATATTTATATATTAATTATATATTGTATATAATATTTATATATTAATACATACATAAAGTATGTTAAGTTTTAGTATTTCTCATGTAGTGAAAGGAAGCTTATTTCATTTAAATGACAGATAGCTGGTTCTCTACTTTTGTCTTCTGTATACCACCTTGACCATAAAATAGAGGCTTACCTTAACTTTTTTACCAAGTCGGTCCTTCCATTTCTCGGCTATAGAGCCTTCCACCAAGAGTAATCTGTATTTTTAAAAGAAGCAACCATTTTTGAAAAATTTTAAATTACTGAAAAATACAGACCTATTATTGAAAAACACAAGGAATCATTGCCCATGAACACGTACATATTTATTCTAGAATAGGACAGCCAAGTTTTTGATTGGCTCAACCGTTTGTGAGTCATAGACCCCTTCAGGAAATGACGTTATGGCTCCTCTCCCCAGAAGAATGCACACATACACTTTTCTATCCAATACACAAAATCAGGTGACCCAATTAAAAGCTATCTGTAATCCCCAAGAAAACAGATCGATCCCAAGATAAGAACACAAGGGTAAGTGCTCTAGAAAGAAATGCAATGGGTGTAGGACAGGCAAAGAAATTACTCTGAATCCTTAAGGAGTGAATTACCTGGAACGTTCCTCATCTTCATAGCCCATGATGATATATTCCTCATTAACATTAAGTGGAGGGCACAGGCAGCCAGAGCTGGTGTAGAGGTTGACGGTATCCCTTGGAATGTTTACCAGAGAAGACTTTAGAATCTCCTTCACTTCCACGACTGCAGTCACATCATGGCACTTAGTCTTGACCTCTTTGACTTTAGCCCGAATGACTGGGATAAAAGACAAAGAAGCTGAGATAGTGATATGACACATAAGAGGTCCTCCATTCAAAAAAAAAAAAGTAAGCCTTTTTTCTAGTCAATTCTTATTCACTTGATGCTCAATGAATGAAGAGGAAAGTCGACCCGACATTTTTGCCTTATACTATAGTAACATATCAAACAGCACACCTGCCTCTTTTATGCTCAGTCCCAATTCCTGTTCCAAATTGTGTGTACATATGTTTGTGCATGTATATGTGTGTGTGTGTGCGTCTATGCAGTGTTTCATTTTAAGAAATTCATTTAGCTAAGCAAATGTTGAGTGACTTCTCTGAAATAATTATCTTCCAGATATCATTTTGGATGTGTATGTGCATGTATGCAGTTTCAGCTGTTGCCAACAGGAATTTAACCTATATAATTTCACCATATGTGAAGACCTTGGACTCAAGTATGCTGTTTCCCCATCTGCATTTTTCTACCAGGTCTATTAGATTTTCTTGAGGTGGCAGATCTTTTTAGACATTAGTTCCCTTCTTCCTTTGTCTCAGCACAGATTATCTTTTATACTCTCCTTTAGTTATACAATATTTTCTTCTTGAATAAAAATTGTCCCTACTACACCTTGTTTCCTCCATTGGCTTCAAAGTCAAATGCTACAACATTCCTTCCCCTCCCGTGCTATGGAATATGCCAACATGTCAGTTGCATTAATCTAATTCTCTCAATGGATGGACTGGCACCCTATCTCTCTCACATGGGTCAGCTTTACTTTACAGTCTAACAACAAATTGCCTTCAGTTGCAAAGTCAAAGCATTTGACCCAGAATCTAAAAAATACAATTCTGCTTCTTTTCTCTCTCTCATTTGGGAAAGTCAAATTCTTTAGATTCCTACTTCTGGTAAAGGAGATGTTTTAAAATGCCAAGATAGAAGTAAACATGTCAGTAAACAGACAATGGCATTTTCATGGGTAGGTACATATTTTATGGATTTTTGGACTACAATGGATTGGAAAAAATCAACCATTCTCCCTTTAATGCTCCAACATCATCACAGACATTTGGTAATAGTCTGCCAGTACAGCATTCACATGACAGACATTAAGTTGCTAATGGCTTCTAAAAACTTTAAGACAAAACACTATTTTTGCCTCATGGATATTACAGTCTTCAGAGATTTAGTTGCCTCAAGTATGAGAACTTATAGCAAATAAAATATAACTGCTCAGTGATCCCTGCTTGGTTCAGTTTGAAAGAGGAGTCTCTTTTTATTAATGTTCTCTCTATTCTGTATTTTAACAAAAGATAAGATTGCCCTTTTTGAAATGCCACTTGGGAGAACCAGTTAATAAATTCTCAACCCTAACTAGCAGACATTTTTTTGTGTCCTGGCTTAAATGAATGTGCTTCATAGCATCCATCAACTATTAGAGATTAGTGAACTGTGCAAATGTTCTCAAACTAATGATTTCTGTACCCAGTGTCTATTATTTTCATTAGAAATTTTTAGAACATGTACCCACTTCAAAATAAATATCTCTGTACAAGACTTACTTTTTAAACTAATTTGTTCAAGCTCAGGAGCTTTTAACTACATTAATCTGAATGAACCAGAGATTTTATTTGAATCATCAATAGCTCCCACCTCCACTTTGTTGTAATTAGACATATGCAGATACATAAGATAAAAATCAACACATTTTGAAAGTAAAAATATGTTTATTTCATTTTCAGAGTTTTCCTTCTATTTAATTATTTGAGTGCCTGCCTTCTCCAGAAAAGATGTAAGTCAGTCCTAAAATTATGGTGCAACCTAGTTATTAGACGACCAGGAAAAAGAAACTATTAGATTCAGATTCTGTGATCCATGTCCCCTTTTATTTTATAATATTCATTCTTCTACCTTCTCTAAGTCTTCTCATGATTTGTATTTCAACTATAACAAAAGTCATAGCACCAACCATTGTAGCATAAAGTAAAAATTGATATTAAAATAAGTAAAAATATTGGTTAGCTATATTCCATTGGCTTAATCTCTTATTTATCAACTAGAAAGCATTATTACCTGCCCCTTCTAAACATAAAGACTCTGTATAAATAAATTATATACACCAATACCCAGATGTACGTTATGAACAACCAAAGAAGTGACAACTTGGGTTTTTTAATGTTCATTGATAAAATTAGGATAATACATCTCATGGGGAAGTTGAGAAAAATTAAATAAGATACTGTATGGAAATAACTTAGCACAGTTTCTTGTACAAAAACATCGGGATTTTTCATTCAATTATATTATGTTCAGATTGGTACTTCTTTAATTAATATTTGGTTTATCAGAAAGCCAGATTTTTAGGGCAAACTAAATTACAAAACATTTATAATTGAATACCAACAACTTCTGTAAGTTATTTTCCCACTCTGTCAGGGTTTTCCAGGAGATAGCCTGACTGAAGAAACTGTGACTCTTTTAACCATTCCTTATGTATCAAAGAGCTCATCTTTTCACCCCAGCAAACCCCAAATGTTGGCCCGTGTAGCTCCCAACATTTGAGCTCAAATCCAGAGCCTTCCGGCTGGAGAAGATCCCCATCTATTTGAAACTTGTCTCTGTGAACTTAGTTATGTGGCTCTAAGATGCCACCAATCCTGCCTGAGAGACTTCAAAATCAACCTGTGTTAAGAACTTTGCCCATGTCAGACACTTTAATTGGTCAGGGCAGAAGGACTATGCTCTTCAAAGTTGTCCTTCTTTATTTGTTTTGAAGCCTTAATCTTTTTTATTATTATTATTAAATTGTTACTGTGTACATTAATGCAGTCATGGGTACAATGTGCTGGTTTTATATACAATTTGAAATATTTTCATCAAACTGGTTAACATAGCCTTCATGGCATTTTCTTAGTTATTGTATTAAGACATTTATATTCTACATTTAGTAAGTTCCACATGTGCCCTTGTAAGATGCACTGTAGGTGTGGTCCCACCAATTATGAAGCCTTATTCTTAAACCGGTTTGTTCATTTACATGTGAGTACACATTATACATACACTCCCTATTCCTAACACAGCAACTTATAAATTAACCATAAAGTTATCCTTACCATAGTTGTAATTGTTCCGGAAATAGGTCTTCTGTGTAGCTCTAATAGGCTTACATTTACAGCGCTCTGAAAAATAAATTTTAATCATAAGCAATTTTTCAATATTAACTTTCTCTTATGTACTGTTATTTTTTTCTAGCTCTGAATTTTGTGGTGAGAAGGCCCTTGACAAGGCTTCACGTCTGATTTCTTTCTCCTGGAGTAACACTGAATAACACTTTCTCCTGAATAACATTCTATCTACACGGCCTCTTACTCAATGTCAGTGTGCTCGTAAGTTCCCACTCTCTAATAAACTACCCAAACCCTGAAGAGACCCTGGTCACCACCATGCATGAGAAGAGTGTGACCCCAGAATCCTGAAAGAGGCACACTTAGCACTGCTGGAGCAGACCCAGTGAGTGCCTCGTGAGAGGCAAATTTCTGCCTATGCTCAAGTAGCTGGCTTACTACCCCGGCATGCCACCTAACGCTCACGTACTCTTTACAGATTACACAGCACTCCTCTAAATATTAACTCTTGGATCTGAAAGCAACTTAAGAAGATAAGCAGGTGTTATTACAATCCAGTAAACTTCATGCAGTTCTTAAGCAGGGGGGCAGTGAGCCCCTTTATAGGTAGAATAGCTGCCAATAAATTCAATGGTATGTTTATGCTTGTTGGAGTAAATTACTGTGTACATTGAAAAGAGAAATTCATGTTTTAAAAAATATCTGGGGAATAGTGTCCAGAACACATGTTTTATGCAATACAGATGTAAGTAATAAAAGTTCTAATTATCTCAAAATGTTTCATTTATAGATCATTTAACATGTTGGAGAGTAGACTATTATACTTTTTATAGAAAGGCTACATTGCCAAAATTACTTAGCTAAAAAATACACAGCATACGCATGCTAAATTGTCACTAAGTTCATTTTTATATAAGTTGATAGAAAATACACAATTACCTTAGAAAATATTTTACCATTTATAAAGATTTCTTTAAAGTAGTACTCCTGAGAAAGTTTTATTAAGAATGAAATGGTGGCCTAACACCCATAGCACAGTGGTTAAACAACAATGACAACTGCAACAACAGTAACAACAAACAATTATCCAGGTATTGTGGCAGGAGCCTGTAGTCCCAGCCACTTGGGAAGCTGAGGCAAGAGAATCACTTAAGCCCAAGAGTTCCAGGTTGCTGTGACGCCACAGCACTCTACCCAAGGCAACATAGTGAGACTCTGTCTCAACCAAAAAAAAAAAAAAA